TGTAACTTAGCATTAGCGTGGTCATAGTCCATTTACAGTTACTGTAAAGGATAAGGTAGCATTAGACTGTAACTTAGCATTAGCGTGGTTATAGTCCATTTACAGTTACTGTAAAGGATAAGGTAGCATTAGACTGTAACTTAGCATTAGCATGGTTATAGTCTATTTACATTAGCACTGTCCTACCAAACCACTCGCCTAGAGTCAGCTCACCTGTAGTGTACAAGGCCGCAGAACTCAAGCAACAGAATGACCATTCTCCGATCTGCGGACAGCAATGTAGAGTATATGATTCCTGTTTTGGGTCCAAGTTCAGCAGAGTGACTCCACTCACATGGTCATTGATAACAGAGTATTGTCTTTCTGGAACTTTCTCTCGTGTGTTCAGCCACCAGACGACGTTCTTGGCATTGACGCTCCAGTTGTGCAATATGCAGTAAATTGTCACATTTGAACCAGTGCTCACCAACACTTTTTCAGGAAGATAAGTCACCTCTGTAATAAAAATTAATCAGTCACTCGTGTAAATACATATTTATATGTGTATTCATTATATATTTAGATTCAGCATTTATATTTATCCATTCATATCTATCTACTCTGTTTTAGTTCATGTATGGTCTTGTGTGCCTTATTTGCTCAGTGTGTGCCTTTGGTCTGCATTTGAACATATTACAGAATCATACTAAACATTATTACATGTGGAAATGGATTTTCTATCTATATTTAGCTGGACAGTTTTCCCAAGGTTATTAATGACATATATGATAAGATATACAGTATAAGGACAAAAGTATTGGGACAATTGGCCATTACATCACAACAAAAGCATTCAAAAACCTTAAATTGTGGAGCAGTGCATTGCACCAACAGAAGATTCTTCACCTTCAATATCAGTGTATAGGGGTCGACTCCAGGTGCTCTGTAGCCCTGGTATGTGCTGGAACCTGCAGCGAACCTGAATGACATAAGTGACTCCAGGACTCAACTTTCTCAGGGAGACCGGCTGCATGGTCACCCCATCCACATACTGTCGGGGGCGAAACAAAGCTTCAGTTCACCTGGATGCCAATGAGATAACCAATCAGACTGTAGGGAAGGTGGGTTCAAGCAACTAGAGGAGATCTAATTAGTTGGTCCCACTGCATCCAGTTGCTTGGACCCACCTCCTCTACAATCTGATTGGTTATCTCTAACCAATCATGTTTTGTTCTGTCCTCAGAACATTTTTCTTTGAGTAAAACTCCCATGAGCTTTCTTGAACCACAAGGCAAAGAGAACTTCACACACATCACTTATGCTGTATATCCTTGCTATTTCCGGTAAATTCACATTTATTTACAGCTTATTTAGCTTAGTTACTCTGCTGTCAGTTACTGACTGGTTTAACCTCCTTCCTATTGGTTACTGTACTGGTCCTGCTTTGGTCAAGCCATGCATGGAATTTAGAACCATTCTTCCCATAACTACTTGAATTCACAATATTCCGTTGGACAGTCCATGCCCTTACCCATTACGCTCCCTGCGTCACAAACTTATTATGCACAGTCGGGGACATACCTCCCAAGAATCCAGTGTGCCTTTGGGGAAGTAGCGGACATCGTAGACAAGTGGGTGAGCAACAGACTGTGAATCAGTCCAGGTCAGTAACAAATCTCCTTCAATGGTTACTTTGTAGTACAGATCAACTGGGGGCTTCAAATTTACTGCAGAACATGTAGCAGAACACTTATTTTAGTAGGAGCCATCCATCCATCCATCCATCCATCACCACCCGCTTGTCCAGGATCCGGGTCACAGGGGTAGCAACTTCAGGAGAGATACCCAGACCTCCCTCTCTCCAGCCACCTCTACCAGCTCTTCGGGGGGATGCCTTTGTTTACACCAGCAATATAAAATCTGGCTTCACTTATTCATTTTCAAAGTAGAAATTAAGGCACCATTCGCTATCAATATGTTTCAGATTACGTGGAGTTTATTCTAATCAGAAGCAAACACAGCTCTCTGTGTACCTGCATGAATGCAAAACTACATGCTGCAATGTTAATGCTTCAGCAATATCAAAGAGGCAAAATATTTGCTCCCACACTGGTGATTTGAAAGTGGCAAACTGCTAAACTACCATCAACTTGTACAAATTTGCATGCAATGCTTAATTCTTGTTTGACAATTCAATGTGTACTGAAGTAAAAAAAAAATATAACTAAATGAAGACATTTTTTATTGCACAACTGCAATTGCAATTACAAGTCTAATTACAAATTACAAGTTTTGGCTGCCAATATTGTAAGATATGATGGGGAAGCCTGACTTTAGGTCAATGGTGGTTTCATCTCAAAAACAACAAAAAATGAACTGATATTGATTTGCTCTTCAGTTGCCATAAATATTAAATAAACAGCCAGTGGTTGCATTAAGACTTGAGAATCCTTACTGCGATCCCATGGCCGAAAACTCATGATGGGGGAGTGGGCGGTCAGTGGGCCACTGCAAACGGTGACCTCCATGGAGATCAGCTGGTCCACTGTGTCAGCACCCGAGAAGCACCTGACATCATCAGCAGCGACACACCTGCACTCAGTCTCCCCTCTGAATGTCCCATTTGTTGAGTTTGACTCTGGTCTACAAACAAATACGATAAGGAACATTTAAGGAGGAGCCAATGCACTGTCCATGGAAAATATATTTGGTAACACTTTACTTAAAGCAGTCACCATAATGCATTATAGATACCTTCGTAATGCATTATAATGGTCAGTATAAGCCATCATAATGCATCATGAAGGCATCATTACAGATGAGAGCTTCATAGACCATTCATAATGCATAATAAACATGGCTACAATGTGTTAGGTCTTTTTTCTAAATAGTTATAGTTGTGTTTATAATACTTTATGAATGCATTATAATGCATTATGAAGGGATCTATAATGCATTATGTTGACTACTTTAAGTAAAGTATTACCACATAGTTAAACAGGTACGGTTAGGGACTTTTTTGAAACATATAACTACTTGGATTTCACTGTCAGTGTTTAGCTTAGCTGATGTCATTAACCATTAGTCCAAGCCACAATGTTTATACAATGTAACATATGTGTCCTTTGCGCTGTGATTGAAAAGCAGATTTTTAAATAAGATGCTACATCTTCACACACTGGATGTAGCTTCATTGCACAAGTCAGACAGGATCATTCTGTGAACACACATGAATACTGGTACGATCATGTCTTCTGTGTTGACTCGCTCCATTAGGGAATGATCACTCAATACTCTCCCACCGAACACTCACTGCAAGGACCAAATACTCACTGCAAACAGTTTGAGACCACTGCGACAGGGGTGCCCGGCTGCTTGGTAATTGGCTCTATATTACAAATGAACTGTCCTGGGCTGGTGTCAACCCAGCACAGGATGTCAAAGCAGACAACTGGAGAGAAACACAAATCAGCATGTTAGACTCAACACTGTTCTCAGGACCAGTTGAATAAAGTCAACTGGAAGCTACAAAGTGATATCTGAACACAGGACACTGAAGGGCTTATGTAAAAAATATTAGGGAGCTGTGGGGCTTTTCTAGACCATAATGCTCATTGGCTCACTGATAATGAAATTAGAATCTTCTCTCTGCATGTCTTTCATCGCATGACAGCTCCTGTGACGTGGAGAGGAACATCCATATAACCATTATGTTTTTAAGACGTTAGTTTCCATTACTTCCATGCGCTGCAGTCTCGTTGTGAGATAGCTGTATGCCGATCTGGACGCTAACAGGATTCTGGGAAGGGGCGGGTCGCTGAAGTCCTGCAGGACTGTGGGAGCTGGACACACAATGGCGGCCACCATCTCCTTCCGGAGGCCTGTCAGCGAGGTCACAGCACAGGGTGACAGGCAGAGGGAGGGCCTGGGGTCCGGCATGCAGACCTACACTGAGGCTCAGTGACAACGTGCCTGAAGAAAATGTTATCAGTCATCTCTGTCTCCGGGAAATATTGCTTAAACTTAATGCAGAAACACACACCCATGACCACAGAGGTGAAAAAAAACAACGCAAAAAACTGCATGGTGATCTTAATAAGAATATAGAAAGTGCATATCGGTTTATCAGATAATTAGACCAGATGAAAAGTATCACAATTATTCCAGAGTTCTGACTTGACCACGTTGTTATTGCACAAGCAGATAATCATCTCAAACAAACACATACTGTATGTTTACAAGGTAAGATCATGAAATCGAAAATGATGACATTAAACAACAAGCAATATGGGTGATGCTTATCTGCTTGAACAAAGTCCATATGTTGCATATCTTAAAGTTTAAGACACATATTTATGTACAATTCACCTGCATGTTACACTTGACCATTCACTCATGAGTCTTAAGGACGAGAATTATGGAAACATCATGGAGAGACTATGATTTGTCCATTATTGTAATAATCTTACCCAGAAAGGAGGTGATAAACAACGCAGGAAACATTTCTTTCACTGCAGAGAGAAACGGAAACTTAAATATCATAAGTGCTTTTATCACAGCTCATTTTTTACATCCCCCTGAGAAACGACTAAAATACATGCACTCTGGCTGAAATTTCATTTTGGACCATCACGCAAATCACACGAAGACGGAGGGTTATCTTGAAAGGAAAGTGACATTTCTGTGATTCATTCAGATGTAAAAGAACACAACTATTCGGAAATTAAAATGTACGCAAACTGCAACAGACTTTAGGCAGGTGTTATGGTGCTGAAGAGATTCAAATAGAGGTCCGAGAAGAAAGGCATGTTGAAAAGGTATCAGCTAAATGAAAAGTATGATCAACAAACTGCCAGTCATTCACCACAAGATCTACTCCTCCTATTTCTATAACGTTAATTTTGGCCAGTAAATAGGCCTAGCTATGATACGTCCCTTAATGGCTTATACCTATCACTGTACGTATACCTACAAAAAAAAAACCACCATATAAATGGTTGGTGCTAGGCTCACTTAAATAGATTTTTTTAACTGAATACTACTATAGATATTAGATTAGTAGGATGATGTGGTTAAGCTATCAGCCCTTTGCCGATACGCGGTCAAATCGTCCGCTCTTCAAATACGTGATGTACGCATAGGCATAACTTTATCAGATAACTAGGTGCGATGGGTAAATTCTTAGGAGCTGGTCAAAATAAATGCAAGAATATAAGTTTGCTATATGTACAAACTGTGTAAACACATATGATATGTGGATGTCGGGCTAAGGATATAACATAATATATATCCACACACATCTCTCTCTCTCTCTCTCTCTCTCTCACTGTACACATAATGGAATATGTAAAAATAAAACCATTTTAAGCTCAGTATGGGTTCACAAAAAGTTTGCTCACAACAATCAGGACCACGAGCAAGGTACGAGATACGCAGGGAACTGTGATGCGTCGGGGAAAGATCCGCGATACAGCGGCGGGTTACTGTACGTATTTATACATTATGGGGAAATTCTGAGAAACAGCCTGTCAAACTTGGCTTGTTTTACTAAATGTGCATAAAACCATAAGACTTGTTAATGCATTATATGGGAAAGTAATAATTTCTTTGTATTTTAGTACATCCTGTACTTCATACATAAGACAATAAATCTTGAACCGATTTCCTATGCACGATCGCTTAGAGCAGGGGTGTCAAACTGCAGTCCTGGGAGGCCGGAGCAGTGTAGCTTAGTTCTTTCCCCGTTCCATCACAAATGATTCATCTCAAGAGATGTGTGGTATTTAGCACAAGGAGGTGAAATGAGTTGAACCAGGTGTGTTAAATGTGTGGAAACCCCAAAATGTGCAGAGTTCCGGCCCTCCGGGACTGCAGTTTGACACCACTGGCTTGGAGCATATTGTTTTCCTATGCGCGATCTGACACCATCATTTTATACCTACGCGTACTCACACGTTTTAAGCGCAGTAGATTTGCACCGCAAATCGGCAGAGCGCGGACAGCTTGACCACAGTAACAGAACCGAACCAACAGCAAGCAAAATACAAAATATACTTAAGTTGTCTTGGGTAAATGTTGATGAAAGAGAAATTGAAAAAATCATAATATATATATATATATATATATATATATATATATATATATATATATATATATATATATATATATATAT